CTAGAAGAAGTGTATATGACACTACCTCAAGGTTTTCAAACTCCTAAAGGCTTTAATGTGCAGGGGGAGAAACCAGTGTGTAAGCTCATTAAATCTTTGTATAGTTTGAAACAGGCACCTAGACAGTGGAATGTAAAACTCACAGAGGCACTGTCTAATCTTGGTTTTGTTCAAAGTCATCTAGATTACTCATTGTTTACAAAAAGGACTGGTGTATCTTTGGTGGTAATTCTGGTATATGTAGATGACACGATGATTACTGGAAATGATCTGAGTTTGATAAAGGATACAAAGAGAATACTACTGGATACTTTCAAGATGAAGGATTTGGGAGATCTAAGATACTTTCTTGGAATTGAGTTTGCCAGGTCACAAGAAGGCATTGTAATGCATCAAAGGAAGTATACTTTAGAAATCATTTCTGAAGTAGGATTGGGTGCTGCTAAACCAGTTAGTACACCATTAGATCCATATGTTAAACTAACCACTAAAGAGTATGATGATGTGAATGGAGAGAATAAAGAAGACAAGTTACTAGAAGATGCAATAATGTACAGAAGATTAGTTGACAAGTTATTATATCTGAATGTTACAAGACCAGATATTGCTTTTGCTACACAAACACTTAGTCAATTTCTTCATCAGCCAAAACAATCCCATTTAAATGCTGCTCTCAAAGTTGTAAGATACATTAAAAACCAAGCAGGACAAGGAGTATTACTGTCCAGTAAGAGCTCCAAACAGTTAAAAGTTTACTGTGATGCAGATTGGGGAGCTTGTTTACACACTAGAAGATCAGTCTCAGGATTTATGGTGAAGATGGGAGAATCTTTGATCTCTTGGAAATCAAAGAAACAGGCCACAGTCTCTAGAAGCTCAGCTGAAGCTGAGTATAGAAGTATGGCTAGTGCTATAGCAGAGATTACATGGATAGTTAAATTGTTCAAAGAGTTGGGAGCTAAGATTCAAACTCCAATCAGTGTTTACAGTGATAGTAAATCAGCAATACAAATTGCTGCTAATCCAGTGTTACATGAAATAACAAAACACATTGAGTTAGATTGTCATTTCATACGTGAGAAGATTCAACAAGGTTTAGTCGAGACAAAGTATCTACATACAAAGGATCAAGAAGCCGATATGCTAACTAAAGGATTAGGAAAATCTCAACATGAATACTTGTTATCCAAGTTTGGAGTGATGAACTTGTTCATGCCTTCAAACTTGAGGGGGAGTATTAAAGAAGGTGTTACTTGAATAATAGGGTATAATTGTAATTAGTAAACAAGTTAGTTAGGAGTTAGTTAATTTGTTAGTCTATTCTCTTATATGTATATATATGTAGATAGGAAGGGAGAGAAAGAGGGAATTCTGTTTTCTTCTTAATTCAGCTGTAGTCTTCAATCTGGAAGGCTTCTAGATTACTGTTAATATACTACTTCTTCTTCTTCATACTCTCAATCTACATCAATTCACATAAAGTACTTTTCTTTATGTATGAAGAAATTAAAGCGCAATCCAAACTTCAGCTTAAACGCTTGACTGAATTTTTGAAAGGTGAATTTTCCATACAAGAAAGAAAAATGTGGAGTGAATGATGAAATATTAAGAATGTGTAGTTTTGATAATTAAAGTAATTTAGAGGTGAATAGAAATGGAAAATTGTCATTTGGAGAGGAAAGTAAAGTCTTTTTTCGAGGAAGAAAAGTTGAAGATTGAAAGAATTACTTCACTAAAGAAATGAGTGAGAAACTCAATCATGTTATTAAACAAAAGTTCCAAGAATTTGGATTAAGTTTTCTTTACATTTGATTAGGCATCAATATGCCATATGCCAATAAAATTAATGCAATTATTTGTTTTGATATTTGATATTAATTTAGCTGTCGCAGTAAGTGGCGAGGGCTCAGGAAGTGAAGCAAACTCAAAACGGAAAGTATCATAGTACGTCGTCCTTTCCTGAAATGAAACTTTTATGCTGGAGCAAGAACTAGCATGAAAGTCGATTTATTACGACCAGCACGATTGTTCCTATTTCATTTTCTTCTTTCAAGCCCTTCTTAGAAAACATTCTCTGAGTTATTGGTGTGCAATTCTTGTGGTGCGGAAAGTTCATCGAGGATTAACTAGCACATAATTACACGCAAAGTAAATAAAAAATAACAATACAAGAATTTAACAAAATTCAACCAAATAGAATTCAAGACTAATTAACTGATAATAATGACAACAAAACATCAACATAATCATTTAAATCAATTTGACAATAAATTTGGAATATATATATATATATATATATATATATATATATATATATATATATATATATAT